TCAAAATGACTGCCGTGGGGGACATAACATTCTAAATCTGGGTTATGCAGCAGCCTATCTGCCATTCTTTATGGTCTCCACTGTGTAGGACATTCCCTTCTACCCCTGCTTATCTTTGTCTTGTTCTGGACTGGAGGAGAGGGGAGATTTCCAAACAAAGTCTCAGCCTAAAGACAACCATCATTTTTATCATCTAAGAAAGTTTGTGGGGCCCATTTGGAACCCAGACACGTTACTGGAGTTGAAGATGATGTTGCAGGCTGGGGATTTGCTTTGTAGTACACCAGCTTCTCATATATCGTTATCTATATCTACCTTATATACTTGGGGATAAGTCCATCCACGGATAAGCCAACCCCCAAATTTTTAAACAAAACGCCATGAAAAATGTGCCACCCACAGATAGGCTGACCCTCAAAATATTAGCATATTTTAATTTTCACAATTGGCTTATCCATGGGTAATCCACAGATCATCCACTTTATATGGTCTCTTGATTAAAAAGTTCGGGAGTCAGCTTATCAGTGGATGGCCTTATCTGCAAGTATGTACAAGATATACAGGCACTTTAAAAAATTATTACCATACATACTCAGATAAGCCCATCCATGGATAAGCCAAACCCAATTTTTGGGATGTATTTTGGCACCTAAAATTCTCAGCTTATTCATGAGTATACACAGTATATCTATCTATATCTGTATCTGTATCTGTATCTGTATCTGTATCTGTATCTGTATATATATTTATATCTATCTTAAAAAGCAGGAGGGACTGGAAGTTCAGGGAGCATCTGGCTCATGACAGGATCAAAGGAGGCATCTGTAGCCACATGGTCACTCCCAGGCCACACACCCCACTGGAGACTGCACCCCTGTGGTAACGCATCCTCTTCGACTTCTTTTGATTCTTTAAAATAATCAAACTAAGTATACTTTCCACAAATGAAAATCTGAAAAATCACATATTCTGAAATAGTTCAGTCCCACTATCTTTTTGTGGTGAAGAAAATCAAGGAATGAACAGAATTAAAATACATGTCTATAAAAGCACTCAAATGCGCAAGACTCGATTTTGAAAGCAAGTCATGCTATATTAAGAAATATAGTCCCTTAAAAAGTGTGCTAAGGGACTATATATATATAGTTTTGTACATCTTATTACACAGTATTCTGCAAATACATGAGTTTTTCATTCCTTTTTGTCTGGAGTAATGGTTAATATCTTGCAGGAGCATCCACAGCAAACTGAGATGATGTCAAAATGATTACGTACATGCAATGATGTAATCCAAGTGCATTATATCATGGCTTTTCCATCATGGTCAATAGTCAGTTGATGAGATGGCTGCATTGTTTTAACATCAATTCTCTCCACTATCTTGTTAATAATAATATTACTGTTTTTTAACTGCAGTTTTTAACATTTGGATTTTATGGTTGTTTTTACTGTAAGCTGCCTAGAGTTACTTTATTGTGAGCTGGGTCTCTATATAAATGTGAGAAATCAATCAATCAGTCAATCAATCCATGTTTTGCCTCCTTCCTGCAAATGCCCATTACTGCTAGCAAATGATAATTTGCCACTCAAGGAGACCTTGAAGCAAACTCTGGTCCCTAAATTGTTGTGCTGCAGATCCAGGATAGTGGCAGCCACAAATGACATCTGAGCAGAACATAATCAAACCCTGATGCTTTCAGTCTTTTAGCCCCTCCTATTCAGTCTTATCCAGTGTTTACTAATATAATTCAACTCTTACTAATTCTTATACTTGCACATGCCCAAACATTAGGGAGCTTTACTGAACCTTGAAATCCCTTCTCCCATGATAACGTGGTGAACCTCAGGCAATAAATACATAAAAGGAAAATGTAAGCAGTTTACTTAAAGCATCCTGCAAACAGTTTAACATAAGCTGCATAACCCAAAACTACAGTATATGCTCAGAAATACGAGAAAAGGCAACCAGAAGAAAGTACAAGGAAGATACAGTAGATGTTTATGTCTGAAGAATATTATCAAGTTCTACACTCAATAACTGGTGTGGTATCATCCATCAAGGTGTGACGCAGCTGGGAGGGGAAGAAGCAGAAAAGCTTGGGTCATAGAGGATTGAACATGGGACTGGATCATGTAGGAACAATTTAAACTGTCTAACTGTTGATGCTGAAAACCTGGTTCCCCTCAAAGTCTGTTGCTGCTCCTACTTTCTCCTGGCTCATGTCCTTGGTTGGTCTTTCCTTGCTTGCCTAGAGTGTTCTTATACTTACATGGGGACTGGTAGAACTGAGTCACTAGTTGTTGTCCACCCTCAGAAAGCTGGAGTTCCAGGAACTGAAGGGGAAGTCACAACAGTCTCCTTCCAACTTTTGTCTCAATCTGCACTCTTGATTATAGTCTACTTCTCCAGCTGTTTAGTTCTTCCTGCAAAACATGGTTACTTCTACATTTCACTTCCCATTTATTTAAAACAGTCTGTAATTTTAGAAAAATGAAAGAGAAAGGTCATGTAGAAGAAAGCAAAAAACAAATAATTCCTCTTGCTTGTGCAGAGCAGGGAGACCAAAGTTCAAGTCCCCCTGCCTCAGCCATGGATGCTCAATGATGACTTTGGTCCAATCACCCTCTCTTGGAGCCCAATCTACCTCACAGGGTTCTTGTAGGGAAAAAATTAAGAGAGATCACCATGCAAGCAGCCTTTTGTTCCTAAAGGAAAGGAAGGATAAAAATCTAACAAGCAAAGAAACAAAATATGGAAAAAGACTGTATGGCCAACTCATCTGAAAAGATCAGTGTATATACGTATGCCAAAGAAAGGAAATGCAAGATCATATGCAGACTACCAAACCAATCCAGTAACTCCTCACACAAGCAAGGTGTGCTTGGGATTTTATAAAGCAGAGAAATGCCAAACTAGAAATTAGAAATGGAAAGAAAATATTGAAATGCCAAATTAAGAGGGAGATAGAGGGAGCCAAGATGAAACTGATAACTGGTGGAATCCATGGGGAGCATGTCAGATGGATGAAAACAACCTTACAGCCCTCTGATGCAAGCCCCCTTTTTCTGCCCGTGGCACGTCACACATATGCCCCAAAGGGGTGGACTTTGCAGCATAACACTGCTTTTGGCATTCTGACGACAGCAATGGGATAATGCAAATGCCACCGTGACTAACATATGATGGGCAATGGAAACAGCAAGAAACTTTAGGGAGGCAGTTTACTTTACATTCATATACTTATATAGAACATGCTGCAGTCTCAAGAATACCTGTTCACTCATTTGAAGAAAGCTTACAATGAATAAGAAGCTACTATAAGAACAAAGTTGGAAGAAACAGAATGGTTCAGGCTACAGAAGGGAGTGAGACAAGGATCCGTATTGCTCCGAAATCCATTTAACTTTTATAATATATTTAAGAAAATACAGTATATGATAAGAATAGCATGACTGGAACAGGTAGCAGGTGGAATCAAAACTGGAGATTGAATCCTGGAGTTTTAAATATGCAAAATGTATCACTATGGGCAACTGCAGAAGGGGGTCAAGAGAAGCAAGTGATGAAATGTCCATCACAACATCACAATGCCATACCACCACCTCTCCACATACTTCTGTGCAATCTGGTGGTGAAAGCACAAAAGGCTGGAACTTGCATCGTGATGCCACGAAGCACGTTTCATCATTTTGGCATCAACATAGCCATAAAGGTGAAGAAGCCTATGGATGCCACCTTGTTAGCCTAAAGTAACGAATGATAGCTTTATTAAAAAAAAAAAAAAAGCTAGTGGTGTATCCAGGAGACTCTCAGGCTTTCCCAAGTCTTCAGTGAAGGTGAACTACAAAGTTGATAGATGGCCCTTTTGCAGACCTGATTTGGTGCCTGAGTTGCTAAGACACTCATTAGGATAACCTTCCATAACTAGGTGCCAGACAATAATTATGGGAGCAAACACCTTGGAGGATAGTATCAGAACTGAGGAGAGGCTGGAAAAATGGGCAGGAATCAGCAAGATGAACTTCAACAGGAACAAACGCAAAATCCTACATTTGGGTAGAAAAAAAAATCAAAGAGACAAGTATAGGATAGAGGTGGAAACCATACTGGACAGCAATATATATGAAAAGGATCTGCATTTCTTGGTAGATCACAAGCTGAACATGAAGCAAACATGATACAGCTACACTCACACAAAAACCCATCCAATCTTAGACTGCACCATCAAAAGTATAGTGTCAAGATCAGGATAAGTTCCTCTCTATTGTTCCTCTCTATTTTGATGGTTCAGATCTTCTAGAACATTGCATCCAGTACTGGACACTGCATTTTAGGAAGGGCACTGACAAACTATAGCATGGCCAGAGGAAAGTAACCAGGATGATAAGGGGCCCAGAAAGGAAACATGATGAAGTACAGTTGGAGGTGCTGACTATGTTTACCCTGGAGATAAAAAGACTACAGTGCAGAGAATTATAATAGCTGTCTTCAAGGATCTGAAATTTTTGTATTTAGAAGACAGGGCAGAATTGTTCAGTATTATTTAAGAACAAGAAGCAATGGGTTTATTTTACAAAGAAGTAGATTTTAGTTGGACATCAGAAAAAAAATATTCCTAATGTTAAGAGCTAATTAACAATGGAATAGACTTCCTTGGGAGGTGGTGGACTCTCCTTTGCTAGAGGTGATTAAACAGAGGTGAGGCTGGATGGCTGTTTGTCAAAGATGTTTGAGTAGATTTCTGCACTGGCAGGGTTTCGAACGAGATCATCTGTAAGATCCCTCCAATCCCTACATTCCATGATCCTCTTGTTCTTACTAAACAGAAATTAAACAGCGTATGGCCTTAACGAATTTAATGCAACAACCAATTAATGCAGAATTTCCTTTTTACTTGGTAGATAAGGCATTATTTGCTTAACCTAGAAAAAAGGAGCCATATGAACCTATTTCCTCTTGCCACAGAAAAGGAAAATGAAACTGTCTGTGTTCTCGTCAGCAGATATTTTCAAACCACAAATCTGTTCCTCTCCTCTTGACGGCCTTTTAGAGGTTTCTGGTTCTCAAAAAATGAACACAAATCTTAGAGCTGAACTGGACCATTCCAGCACCACACCAAAGGATGGAAAAGCTTCAGCCAGTGCTGGATTTCTTCCTTAATCACCAGAAACTCCTGGGCTACAGTACAGTGTCTCTGCTGACTGCGGGTAGTGAGCGTGTCTTTTCTGTGGTGGTGTTCCAATGCCCGTGCAACTCCTGGAATATGCTTTATGGTGGTGTGTTTCTGCTGATACCTGCACTTATTCTGTTTCTGCTGGGCTTGCTCCTCAGTGCCCGTTCTTGGAAGGTGCTCACTGGATGTTGTTCCAAAGGTAGACCATGTAGATGTCCTCATGGGAGTCGCCTCCAGCACCACTTACGAGTGTTGGGGTTTGTAACACTCGGTGCTGCTGTGGCTCCCTTCACGTGGATTGCTGTGGCCTTACTGGGAGGAAGCTTCTATGAATGTACTGCTACTGGGATCCCCATCCTACAGAGATACATGTGCAAAAGCAAAGGAGAAGAATGTATCACAAGTCTGTTAAAAGTGCCCTGTCTCAGCACTTCCTCTCCTGAAGAAATGGAGATACTCACAAGCCTTCGAGCTCAATCACAGGTTAGTACATGGCCTTTTTCAGGTTGTCTTACAGCCAGATTTCCCAACTTGGTGCTCTCCAGAGGTGCTAACTGGCCTATTGAAATATCATCAGGGGCATTTCTCCAGAGGGGCCTGCAGTCATGCTGTGAAAATATTTTTTTTCTTTTCGTAACAGTAGCCAAGTATCTCCATTCCTGAAGACTTCCATAGCATTGCTTCCTTGGCAGCCTGTTTAATGAATTTTAGATACCAGGTTAAGAGCTTTCATTTGTTTTGGTTTAGATGTTCAGTTTGTTGATGTTGTTCCCTTATTCAACATAGTTAATAGCAAGCTACAGATAACATGTTTTTGCCAATTGCTTCCAGCTAGGGAAGCTGTTGCTTAAGGAAATTAGAAAAGTTGGATCTTCTCTTGCCTCCAGAGAAACTGGTTTCAGCTTGGAGGAAAATTCCCCATTAGCATCAGAGGAGATTTCCTCCCATTGTGAATTAGAGGGATTTTCCTCTAGTATGCAACTAATGGGGCTATATAGCAATCTGGATTTGAAGGAGAAAAGGTGATTTGGAGTGCACTCAGACACATATGTACCACTTGTCCTTATATCAAACACGTATTTTTGGGGGGGCTCCCAGTAGCTTCAGATGGTGGCTGTGCAAGCTTTGGAAAGAATGCAGCTGTTCTAAGGAGTTGCCAACAGGTGCTCTGAGAGTTCTCCTATTCATTCTGAAATCACTTTTTCCCCTTCAAATCCAGATCACCCTACACAGACTTAACAATAAGAGATGAAAAGATATGTTACATTTCCACACCTGCTCAGATCCCTTAATTATCCATCTTGTCCCTCCAGTTGTATTGAGAGGCCCCATCTTCACTGACTGCTGTAACTCAAACCTTGTAAGAACATACTGGGGTTTTGCTATATATGATATATCATATCTAGGGCTCAAAAATCTAGAGAAACAAGAGTTGGCAGCAAAGACAATTGCTATGATCTATGATTGCCTATAATTTTGGAGCCCAGATACAGTAGCTCTAATTCTTTCTGTCATGCAAAGTGTTGGTGTGTTGCTTCAGTGCAACACCCAGTGCTGCATTGAAGGGAAAGAGATCAATATCAGGAAGCAAGCAACAGTCAAGAAGGAAAGCTTTAACCTTTCTCCCTATATGTGATGGCTCTGATTTCTGGATTGTAAATACGCATGCAGATCAGTTACAGTCTATGCCCAGAATGTAAGATGAAGTTTAATTTTGAGGTGCCTTGATGCCAGTATGAATATCGTTCTTGTGCTTCTTCCAAAGGTGTTTGGATGGATTTTGATTGCCAGTGTCTTCACAGTGGCCCTTCTTTCCACCTGCATTGCTCGCTGCCGTTCTCCAGTCAGTGTTCTTCAGCTTGCATTCTGGAAAATATATCTGGAGAAGGAGCGACAACTTTTTGAGAACAAGGCCAAAGAACACGCCTCTAAGTTGGCAGACAGGAATCTTAAAAGTTTCTTTGAGTCCACTGAGCTGGAACCATTTCAAACTCCAAGCACCAAAGCCTGGGATAACATTTCCTCCTTGTTTGCCTTTAATCCTAAAGGCAATTACTACAGTATGATACATAAATATGTCAGCCAAAAATCGCATAGTGAGAGCATTAAGTCTGCTGAAGGAGATATATATCCTGCTTGTTTGCAATTTGTAGATGGAGCAAATGCTGAAGTCCAAATATTGTAACAACAACAGCAACAACTGTAACCTGAGAAAATGTCTCAGACCAGACCCTCCCTAGTTCTCACAAAGATGGAAGGGGAAAACCTATTCACTTACAAGATTCTGTTACTGTGACTTTCTAATAAAACTAGTATTAGCATTCCCAAATTTGGTTTCCTAGTCTGGTCTACGTTGAAGGGCTGAGAGGTATACAGGCTTGTTAATAGCGATACTATGCATTATTTCTTTACTTTACCTTCTTGGAGTGCTCATGACTCTTATTGTCAAGTTTTCATTTAATAAGAAGCAAAACTGCTTCTGCTTTCTCCTGAATTTAGTCTCATGACATTTCTTCTCCAAATGTAATTTTTATTAAGAAATTTAATTACAATAGTAAATACCAATACCAATTAAACATAGAGAAAGAGAAGAGACTGGAAAGAAAGAATAAAAAGTGCAAGAAAAGAGAAAAGAAAGAAGAAAAAGAGAGAGAATATAATAAAGAAAAAGAAGGAAGTGACTTCTCACCTTCATCACAAGTATAAACAAATTTAATAACAGTTCACCCTGTCTAAAGTTAAACAGATATCTCTTCATCCCATATCCCATCCTTGTTTATTTTTTATAATTAATTCCAAATTCTTATACTAAAAGTCAATATTCCAAATTTATCTGGACCCTTAAACAATTTATAACTTTCTAAGTTCAAAATCTTATTTAGCTTTTTGCTGTTTATTTTAAATTCTTTAAGTTCTTAAGCTTGTAATTAATTTTTCTTTTGTTCAGAGTTGAAGATAAATTCACCCGATGA